GGGAGCAGTTTAAAGAACAGCTTAGGTCGTCTTAAACAATGACGCCGAGATCCTTCTCATTCGAGGCGTATGGAAGTTGTTGATCTCCCAGGAAATGCGAGGACCGAGTTTTGTGTCGAAGGCGAAATCGATGTCAGGATAATGAATAGCATACTTTTCATTTCTGTTTCGAAGTTGCAAAACGTCTGGTGCTGAAAAAAATATTCCTTTAATGTATACTTGATTGTTGTTTCAAAGAATCCACGCTTCTTGGAATATGCGTCCCCTGGTTTGATCAGTAGGATTCCCTGCATAAAAGTAAGGATTTTCGGTAAATCGTCCTCCATTTCTAGGCCAAAATACATTATGGCAAAACGCAAACGGGTCTAGCAGTGGCAATAAGAGGGAGTTTCACTCCGACTCGGTTCCAGATGAACCAATATTCAGGATATACTTAAATTTTGTATAATGCGATTAATATGCAGCAAATGCAACTTACAAAAATAGAACTTATTGCTTTCAAAATAACACAATGTTCCCAATGAAGAGTTTCATTGGTCACCAATGTTCTGAATCCAGACAGATAATTACCTCACCCCAGACGATTTCAACTGTGTACATGGTCTATGATCCGGTAATTGTCTAATTGTTTTCAAGGACCCAGTCTGTTCCAATGAAAGACGATCCAAATGAACAATTCGCTACTCGCGTCACACTCTGTAAGCGTTTTAGACGGTTCAACTGGCAAGTATTTTGGATCTCTAACCAATGTTGTGAACAGAATCCGGAATCTCAATCGGTCCCACCATGATGACAAGCTCCTGGTGGACTGATTCGCGTCCGGAACTAAACCGGACAAAGTTTGATTGGGTCGGTACAACGTTGCTGATCTCCTAGAAAATACAGAAACCGAGTTTGTGTCGTTAAATTTCATGTCATTTCCGATCGACCATTGATAGGAAGCATTAAGGGTTCTTTGGAGTTCCAGCGAGTCCTCTGGTTTTGTTATATTATGTATATTTACACCTTTTCAAACAAAAGAAAATTCTTATGCCATGTTTTCGTTTGGTAGCTGTGCATGAGTTTCTATATTTTAAATAGGAAAAACAAAGATTCGGCGAACAAATTTGCTTTCAGTGCGTTATCTTCGGACCAATTACAACACATTTTATAACTAAGAAAAATAACAAAGGAAGAGAGTCAAATGACGGTTTTAGTGTACGTGAAATGGAAGCTGACGGGTTGGTAGGTGAACGTTCCAATACAGCTCGCATAATTGGTGGAAATCCCTTGCGGTGTGTGAGTGTTCAACTGCAATAATCGGGGGGGGGGCACCTCGGTAAGGAATTTGGTAAACTGTTTGTGCGCACATAATGGGGGTTTGGTCAATCCAATGGCTATCACCTCTTCTGTAGATAACAATCGGGCTTTACCATCCCTACACCGAATAGGCTGGACGGAACAATTTCCGCACGTCCACAGTGTAATTCGTCTCGGCCAGACATATAGCAACCGCACTCGCACCTGCCCTTATCGGTCTCCGACTGAGCCAGTTTGGTTAGTGTTCTCTCATCCGATCGGTTAGGCGACTGGTGGTGCGACCCATGTAACATTCGCCGCAGGAGCAAGTAAAATGGTAAACACACAAAAAGAGAACATTTCCATCAGTAGCATGTCGGTTATTTGTAAGGGGACAACTGATTTCGAAGAGTAGAACATGAGTAATGCCACTGAAAAATAAGTATTTCCTCTCCATTGTCCTCGTAAGAATGCCATCTTTGAAAGATAATGAAATATAAACCTTTTACTTTTCCACTGTTGAGTTCTTTGATTTGGCATTGTACGCTCTCATGCAACGATGGATAAGTTCCTCTCCGGTATCCATTTTTCAGGAACGTCGACTTAACTAACTCATCCAATTCATCATTCACTAGGTCAGTAGAAAAAAAATTCTTGCATACGCAATTGATGATGTACTGGATTAGGCTGCGTTTACGCTGCATTAGGACGAGACTATGATAATTGAGATATTGTTCTGTCCACTTATTACTTCTGTGTGCATTTCGTCTGGGGCAGCCATCTTCCGGTGTGACACGTAGATATCAAGAAGTTTCATTCCTTGAACAGATTCTATCTGAAGTTATATTACGATGAACCCGATTAAAACTGTCCAATGACATTGAAAGATTTTGCGAATTGTCAATGACACAGATAATATCAACATAACGCTTATGTAGAACACAAGTGAACAACATCCTATTCTCTAGCTTTGTCATGAGTGAAAAAACCGCCAAAAGTGGCCTAGTGGTGAGCCCATGGCCATTGCATGTTTTTGACGACACGGTTTAAAAACATAAAACCCTGACTTTATCTGTCCCCATATCTTCCAAGGCAGATTAAGAAACTCAATTTGGAAGCAACACACGGCCAACAAACTCTTTTTGTTCAGTATTTGTTGTGAAATGCGGGGCTTTTCGCGGGGGGACGTTTTGACCCATTTCCATCTTCACGTCAATCAAAGTTGAATCAGTTTCCTCGTTATGCTCATTTGTGTTTTTCAAGTCTTCCAGGTGTGTGTGTGTGTGTGTGTGTGTGTGTGAGTGTGTGTAAACAAGAGGTCGAAGAGAATCGGCTTGTTGATAAATCGTGGATGGGGCTAATTTTAACTTGGTGCATGTGCATTTGAATGCATTTGAATGGAGTGATGTGGCGGAGGCAGTGGTTGGGGCTGATATGGTGTTTTTCATTGTTCAAACGGAATTCACGATCAGTCCCGAATTGGGTCGGCTTTACTGCTCTGAAAAATGTTTAATATGCCACGGTTTTTCCTATCAGATGTCTTTCAATAAACCGTCTACACACAAAAAGCCTAGTGATTGCAGTGGAAAAGATGCAGCCTTAACAAATGCTTTTGGGTATCCACACAAAATGTATGCAGCGAGTGCGAGAAGTTTGGCAGAAGTTGAGTTTAAAATAATCGAATTAAAGCTTTTAGTTTATAGATTTGATATATTGAATATATAAACAGCGCTGGATGGACTTGAAATTCACGGAGATAAGAAGATTGATGCTTTGAATTAGGGAGCAATCTGACTACAGTGTAATGTAATTCTGTGTTGGGCAGCTGGGGGTGACTGTATTGCTTATAACAGTTGCTTATTTTTGAAGTGATTCCACACTTTCAGATTATCTTTTATTTGATCCATCTTTACTTTTGATCTTTTTCAAAACACTGCAAAATATGTCTGTTGATCATGAATTAACCAGGTTCCTAACCTCATGAACTGTGATTCTTTTGAATATCTCACGTTACGACTCATTCTTCAATATATTCTTAATCGAATAATTGCAGATGGAAAAACTCGCTTAAATTTCTCGCTCAACTATAATTTCATTTTATAAAACAGATCAAAAGTTTTGGTTCAGTGAATTTTTGCAGGATATAAAGATATTCACTAATACACGCAAGTGTAAAATGAAGCTCAATGAAGTGAGACGGGATGATACAGCATTAAGTCATTTGTCTGTTAAACTATTTACTCTTAGGAATGGCTCCTAGCCGAAATCAAACGATTGGAAGAAATCGAGCATTTGGCCCGCAAATTCCGCCTCAAATGTGCCACACACGAAGCTTGGACGGAAGGAAAAGCCAACGGGTTGGAATCACGTGACTACGAGGGAGCCAGTTTGTCCAGTCTGCGTGCAATGTCCCAGAAACATGATGCATTTGAGGCCGACCTGGGTGCACATCAGAGTCGTGTGGAGCGAATCGTTGCGATTGCAGAAGAGCTTAAGTGAGTGTTACAACGTGTTTTATACGATAGAAATGCCATTTGAGGGAGGGGGGCTTGTGGGTTTATAATTCACTTCCGAAATGACATAAAATTCCTCTCCCTTTCATTAATTCACTAATACATGTAATTTCCATCCCTTTTATTCCTTGAGTTAATGGTTACTCTTGGTTCAGGATGGTCGATTCAGAAACTAAGATGTTTACTAAAAAATGAATTGCGGTATGGGCCTGTTGGCGTCGGTCACATATTCATCTTTTAGACCAAGCGTCTGGATTTCAAGCGCTCAATTGGTTGGTGAATATTTTCCGTTTGTTGAGAACCAGCCAAAGTATGACTCGAATCTACCGAGTTTATGTGTTGATGACTGAGAGAATGGTGGATTGCGTGGGATGAAAAAATGCGCACATCAATCAGTTGAAAACAAAGTGATTAACGTGTGCAGATCAAAACAATATCAAAAAAATGTTGTTGTTGTTAAAGTAGAAGGATTCCTAGCACTTGTAAGTGAAATAAGAAGATTCTATTGACTTGAAAGAGACTAGTTCTAGAGCCAAAAATGTTCACATCCTCAGTCTGGAAAATGGAGTAAAGAACATAGCTGTTAGTGAACTAACCATCATCAGCTGCATGGAGTTACCGCATGTCGTTAGACCTGATTCAATTTGACGATTTCCATGTACATGTGTCGTACATGAATGTGGGTGGGTCTCGTTCAGCAACACAAACCGATGACAGAAATGTTGTCTCAATGGACCGAATTCAATAACGAGTGATGCATGTCGAGACTGTTGTTGTTGTTGTTGCATCACGACTAAGTTGTTGCACAAATGTTCAGAATTGCGAGTCAACTAAAACTGTTGAAACCGTAGCTATCGTGTCAGGTAAGGCATCTTCAGATTTCATATAAGAAAGCCACTACACGTACGACACGGTGTTTCTCACTTTTGGACGTGAGGAACAGACTTTACATTTGCTTCTGGTGGACCCGGTATGCTTTTATCAACTTTCAGTCCGGGCGAAAAGGCTTTGCTTAGTCACCACCTTCCGTGTGACGTGATTTTGTCTATAAAACGTGAGCTTAGTTGTCGGTTGGATAAAATAAACCGCGGGTATAACTTTCACTTTGAACGCATAAGTGGCTTGCAATTATGGGTTCCAATTTCCAATTTTTAGCACGGTAGCACATTTTAACTGTAATTGTCAAAGGCCGGAATGGTATTTTCCGATTGCGCTTTTGCTCCATCATTACACAGGGTTTGCACTGCGAGTATGCTTTTAAATTTTCAAATTATACCGATACGAGAACCGGAACCAGATAGCTACATAGAATGCGTAGCAATTGTGCATTCAACAGGTTTGATCCCAATATGATGAAGTTCTCATCTCTGTGCTGATCCTGACTACCCAGACTAGTGTGCAGCCTGGCTATACTGTTCCTATGGCACACAGACAAGCAGAAGTCTGCTAGAGCACGTTCCACAAAAGAGATTGTTTTTGCTTAGCTTGAAACGCATCCAGATTAAAGAATCAATCATGCTTAGGAATCTGGGCATCTGGGCTCGTGAATGAAGATGATGATTTCGGTAATCAGCGTTTTTGCGAAACATTAGTTAAGAGACTGAACGCGGACATTGTCGGTTTCATTGTTAGACGATATTCAATAATTTGACCACAACCAAGCCGATTACAACAAAGCTTTTTATGGTCTGTTTGGGTAATCCGGGCGGCATTTCTTTTACTTCGTATTTAAGGCCAAAGTGAAATGTAGACTGATTTTATTCCATTGTGAAAGTATGAGTTGACTTCAAATATTTACAAAGGAATATCAATTACGTAAGAGCAGGCACATGGTTAGAGAAAATCAATTGGATGGTTTTACATTCGCTCTTCAGTTGTGTGTACAATGGTTCACGTGAAGGCTCGATCAGAATAATGACAAATCCTGAACTACCACAAATGCGTGGCCAGACATCTAAACTATTGCAGCTGTTCTGATTCAACTTTTACGTGAACAGTGCCACACAGCTAAGGATATAATGTAAAACAGTTGAATTTCCACTGTCCTATGAAGATACTTTTTTCTGGCCGCCAAATTTTCCTGAAACGAATTGAATGCATCAATTAGTTTGACTGTTTCAGTGTTTTCGCAACCGAACAACAACGTTCCACTTGGTGTTAAATTTGACTTGCGAGCCTTAGAAGTACTTTGCAAGCTGTCATTCAAGTAAGCGCACACTCGGTTCTTTCTAATAAATAACAAAACAATAAAATCCAATAGACGCGGATACATCACAAACCGGGAATAACATTAGTAACAGGACGGCGTAAATTGGTTTGGTTCATGGTCTGTTCGCATCTGTTGATCTTTCGACCGAATATAGGTCGAACAGGAATTAATAAATGGGACCCGAATCAGAGTGCATCAAAAACGTGAGCGTGTGGTGATGAGTTTTGTGGATATTTCGTCAAATTTGCCTAATTTAAATTTTTAAGGCGTCACAATTAACTGTGAAAAGTAGGCCTGCACGTTCTATCAAATTAAGCCAGTCATATATGCTTTTGACGGTATAATGTTAGTTATTTTTGTCTACCTTTGTGGTTATACAATCCGTGCCAGTTGTTTAACTCGATCACTTGTATCAGAAACGTAAGTTTCGGTTTCCGTTCAATCAAGTATTAGACATGCATTTTCATGCACCAGTTTTGGTTGCTGTCTTTTGACTGCCCAGTTAGATAAAAGGGCCGAATGAAGATTAGAATCTTGAGAGGAGAGTCAAACGGAAGATAGACAATTCCTACAGACCGAAGTTGCAAGAATTGGGAGTAGATGTACGAACGTCACTGTTTGCGATACCCAGCCATATCACTCAATGTCTCTAACGCTCGGTTGCCATTATCTCGGGTCTCCGTCCAGGGAGCTAAGTGATAGCCGTGTGATCCAGTGTACTGGCTAGGGTTTTCACACCCTCGTACTAGGTCTTACTTTGATTGCTCTTCAACTTTTTCCACCCACTACGTGCATAGACAAACATCGCTCGACGTGGCAACCTATTTGGTGAATCACGCGGCACATACCCTAACCAGCATAATCTGTGGAGGTCGACCACTTGTTCCGGTAGAAGACCGTGATTACCTAAGACTCACCGTCTAACCTCAACAGTGCTTGTCCGGTTTCCCCACGTGACTCGTGCAATGCGATGTAGACAGCGAAGTTTGAACAATGATTGACTATGATAATCTTTTCAAAAACTTAGAAATAAAGGGGATTGAGTTTACCGAACGTGAGGAATAGTTATGGTTAGCAAACATTATATCAATTTTGAGCTACATTGTTATGCGATCTACTACCAGTTCGTCAAAATAAAGAAATCTGTTGCAACCGCTGAGTCGTTGTTTTATTAAGCTCGCAGTCACCTACTCCGAAGACGACAATTACCGACGATCTTTCCGAATACCACATTCTTAAAGAGTGCGGTATACGTGACCCAAGGCTCATCTTTTTTCAATCTTTTGTCAGTGTTCAGGTGTTTCTCCCTGAGTACAGAGCCCAAGTGAGACGAAAACTCAACTCCGGCTAACGGGCACACTGTTCCTAATCATACGAATTTTGCACGCCGTTTTATTTTGTGCCCAACGGGATTTTAAACAGATAGAGAATCTTCAGCAGTTGAACATTCTGTAACATGAAAGAAAAGATTTACCAAATACAAGAAAGAACCTGATTTAAATAAACAGAATGTTTTATTTTCGTTCTATATTTCATATATTCAACACTCTGAATTCATCATACGAAAATTCGAAAGCAGCGCAGTTGTCAGCTTACCATCTGACTGCAGCTTGCGCATTCCAAATCATTTTTCTAGATATCAGCAATAACTACTGCTGGGCCTCAATGCTGAAGTGATCGATTTTAGAGAACCAGCCAGGCTACATTTAGGAGATAACGAGAAACGGTCCGACAGTTCAGAAAAACCAATGATCCTCGATAGATTTACCAAAAATATCCGAATGCCTTTCTCTCTTGAACACGAACATGTGTCCTTTCTTCCTTAAGGACAGACAGACACACACACACACACACGTTGGAAGCTGTTCTAGGACCGAAACATGTGATAGAATGTTTGCACATTTTCTTACGCTATTTTCGCTTTGGATCAATATCTCAGATTGCCCTCAAATTACCCAACGGGCCATTTCTTTTTATCGTGTCTATCGTTGACCACAACTATAGTGTTGTGGAGAATAAAAGTGAACACACAGGAAAATAGGTCGGTTTGAGTGTTTTGTCTGCGCGCGTGGTGTTTCCAGTTGAACGCATACCTTTGTGCGATCAATCATTCAATTGCGACCTGTTTTATGGAATGAAATTTTCCCAGAAAGCGAAGAGAGAAATTAAATGGGTATGCAGTCGAGTTCATAAGTTGCAAACGTTTCGGCATTCGGCAAAGCTTCTACTTCACCGGTCTTATTAGAACCGAATGTTGAGGTAACTGAAACAGAAGCGCCTGAGTGTATATGGTTTGCCTGCTCGCCATCAAGCGAATTCATATCGAGCCTATTCATATTTGCCATCCCATTGTACATTCACTTTGATTTATTTATTTCAGTTTTTTGCGTGTGGATGATTCTCATCAAATCACTGAAAAAAAATCAGACAATTCTTTTCTCCATTTAAATTCCCCAATCATTTACGAACACTTCGGGGTGATACGTATTAACGTTTAGTTGAACTAGATGAAAGGTTTTATCAGAGTGAAATTATCCTTTTCTTATAGTGCTCGTACAAACAAGAGCTCAGTCCGCATTGAAAGCATCTAATTTCCGTCTTTCGCAAAGTCATTTTGCTTTGACCACCTGGTTAGAAAATAGAGATTTGATCTGTTTTTCTTTTCTATTCCCTTTGAAATTTGATGTGAAGATTGATATGTGTAAACAATTAGACTTTCTGGCGTTTTTCGAAACAGTAACTTGTCATTCCAATAGTCAGTCAGTTTGGTGAAATTC